CTTTTCACAAAAATATTTCACCTTTCCTTCCCAATCTTACGCTTCCACCATCACTCCCAACACATACTAATTTACACTGCAAATTCTCTCTCTTTTTTTAACCTAATATGTACAAAAACAAGACATTCAATTCAAAGAGAAAAAAAAAACACACAACCTAGTAAATTGAGAAGAATTAGATAATAAACTTAATTGAGACTAAATTGGGTACTCTTTATGTTATACATCTAAAATGTTTTATTAGAATTAGATACAATTAAGCAGTTACTTTTTATTTTATTTTAAATTGCATTATACATGTTTTAACATAAATAATTAGGTCCGAATAAACTAAACGTATCCAATATAAACACTATATAATAATTGAAATTTTATCATTTTTCTAACAAAATATTTAAAAAATTACACATGAAATTATTTTTAATTTATTAATAATATAAAAAGTAATATTTTTAAGATTGAATTTGTCAATAAATTAATCAAGACATATATATATATATATTAAAGATTTAAAAGTTCAATAAATTATAATATGACTTAATAAAATACTTTTATATAATATAATAATTAACAATGAGAATTATTTTAACTAAAAATATAATAATAATAATAATAATAATAATAAATATTATTATTGTAATTTATAATAAATATTATAAATACAAAATACATTAAGTAAAAGTACGATAAAATCTAACAAAACAACTAAAGATAAATTTGACTTATATGAAATAAATGAAAATAACTTTCAAAATCTAATTATTTAATATCGGTGTTAAAATGGAGATTTTAACTTAGTTTTAAATAAAAAATTTAATGATTTAATTTTTCCTATATTTTAAAATTAATTGAAATTTTTAATCTACACTGATTCTGTATTAAACCAATGGAATAATAAGTAAATTTTGACTTAATTGAGTTAAATATATATATATATATATATATATATATATATATATATTTATACAAAAATAATTAATTAAAATATTTAAATAAAAAAATATATTTTAAAATTTTATATTTTATTAATAAAATTAATTTTTATTTAAGATATAATCATTTAATATATAATTTATATGATAATGCATTATTTAATCTAAAAGAATTGATAATTTTCTATTTATTATCATTATTTTTTTATAATTTATTAATTTAAAATAATAATAAATTTTAATCATTTGATTTTAAAATAAATAATAATTAAGTATTCATTCTAATATTTATTTTTAAAATAGGTGATTTTTTTATTTAAAAAAATTATAATATATATATATATAATTACAAAACTTAAATCTACGTAAATTATGAACAAAATAGATAGGATTTTTAATTTAATTTATAACAAATTTTTTATCCAACCTACTCTATTTTTTAGATTTTTTAAACCAAAAATTAAACCTATTTTACACTTCTATATTTTAAAAGGAGAACCGTTATATGGATCTGTTTCCTATTAAACCGGTTTTCAAACTACTCGTAAAAATCATTTTGATATGCATTGATGTTTTTGATAATTAAGATTTTGATGTATTTTACAGCTTGTTTCTATCTAAGGATTTTTCAAGTCCCAAGGGAAGTATTTTACACTATACTTTTCATTTTCCCATTACTTCTAAAGGTAAACTGTTCGGGAGAATCTCCTTAGGTTGTGTTTGGTTGGACAAATTTTAGAACCAAGGATGAGTGATGAAAAACTTCCAACTTTCTTTTATCCTTCTTTTATTTTATTATTTCTTCTATTAAGCATGTTTATATTATTATGTATACATGTGTTACTTTTATTTTTATATCTCTTCTATTATATAATCTGTAAATTATTTTATTATTTATTTTGTTTTCTTCTTACCATTATTTGAAAGGATTAAAGTTCACCATGTCGTAATGGACTAACTATATGTTGGTGGTTTAATAAACTCTAGATCATTTTATATTTAGTTCATTCAAAAATCAGTAATTAAAATAAACGTTATAATAGCGTAAGATATATTACTTATTAACAATATTTTTAAATCGATGGTTTAAAAATTTGATCACAATTAAATAGAGCTTAACTGAATTTAATAAAATAATATTTTTATAATATAATAAATATATAATAAATTTAATAATAATAATAATAATAATAAAATTGATATAATAATAATTTTAAAAAATTATAAATATAAAATACATTAAAAATAATTAAATTAAGATAAAAATATAATAAAATAACTATTGTTTAAAATTAATATAACTAATATAAAATTTAAAATATATATTGTATTTTTTATAAAATTATATTAAAAAAAAGTTGATCTTCAATTTATTTTTATCAAATCGATTTGATTTTTTTTAACTAAAATTTGATTATTTAAAAATAATAAAATACCAACTCTTAACTAAATCAGTTAAACCGTCTGGTTTAAATTAATTATAAACTATAAAGATTATATTTATATATAAAGCTACGAATACGTAGCTTGAGTGACAATGCCTATTTTTTAAACTATTTTTTAATTAAATAAGTGTTATTCACATACTTTCTTAATAGGATAATAATTGTATAATTCTTTACATCATAATGTATGAAACGTGACTCGTTCATCTAACCCTACACTACAACAAAAATAGACTCATGTTAATCTCAATTTTTTAAAGTCTCAATTACATGTTAAAGACAAAACATGAGTAGAAAAAAGTTCAAATAAACTTCATCTTATGCTCATAAAAATTATTCTAATATATGTTTAGAAATATAAGTAACTGCAATATATATTATTGGCAAATTGTATAATTGTAGAATATACAGTAATTGTGTGAACAGTAAAGACATATTATTGCAATAGGATTCATAACAAAATGACAATAACAAGAATAGGTAGGCATATGGGCTATGTTGGATTTATATAAACATGCAAATAAATGGATCAGTCTGAATTCACATGAAATAAACTCTCAGCATAATTATTTATATTGGTTTAGGTATACATGAAACTAAAAAAAATATTAAAAAATTCAAGAAATTTAAAAGTAAAATATAACACATATCAAGTAGTTAAAATTAAATAATAATAATAATAATAATAATAATAATAATTATTATTATTATTATTAAACATTAATAACATATTTAAATAAAGTATTAATGTCTTTGAATATTTTTTATTTGAATTCTATATGACATAATAAATTATTTCAATTTTTTTAATAGTTATATTTTTTATTAACTTTAAAAAAATTAAAAAAATAAAGATTTTTTTTAATTTAAAAAAAAATCAAAGTAACATTAAATTTATTTAAAAATAATGTGATGTAGTGAATTTTATTTTACTCTTTTTAAAATAAAAAATAATTGAAAATATACCTTAAGTATAAGTTTTATAATTTAATTTCATCAAATCCACACAATCCAACACAAAGCCTTGAAGTTAAAATGATGAATGACAGCGATGACAAAAAAAAACTATCATATTCTAGTTTCCATCAAACATAGAGTAAAAAAATACAAAACAATAACAAGTACCTATACATTTGTGAATTATAAATAAAAAATATTAGAAATAGATGTAAAAATTACTGATATTAATAAATTTGTTAGGTTAATATTTTAAGCAGAGTGGTTAGGGGTTAACGAAGAAGAATGGAAGAGAAAATGGGTGACAGATGAGTGATGTCATGAGATGTCGGAAGAGGAGGGCACGTAGGTAGCTCCCATAAATGCCGACAGATTAATTTTTCCGATGACAGGTCGGTGTCCTAAGTTTATGGGTCCTCTTATCTTATAAATTCTTCAAGCACTACTCCATCTTTCACCATATATTTTTTACTACTCTTCAATGTATAACATTTTTTTTTCTCACATATTCATTTTTCTTATATTAAAAAGGTAAAAGAATAGAAGATAATTTTAATGTTTCTCCAACGAGAAAGAAAAAATATTTTTTCTTTTTCTATTGAGTGGTATAAAAGTTTATATACATGCATGTATATAATTACATTTTAAACATACAATAAACGGAGAGATAAAAAAACAACTGGGTCCCATGTGTCTTTTTACATTCATTTTCTTCTCCGAAAAATCCAAAAGGACAAAAAAAATATAACTTTATTATTTTCTTTACTAACTTTTACTCCGTTGAGCTTCTTTTTCCAAAGGCATGGTAAATGTTAGAATAAATAAACTATATTTGTATTGAGCTTTTCTATAATAAATTTTTATCAGTCCATTATTTTTGTCTGTATAAAATCAAATTACTTCTTGGTATTAAACAAGAATATTGTAAATTTTATACATTTTAAAGTTAACTATTATTTACTAATAAAAAATAACTATAGTTTGATTCCCACGTTTTTGTAAGATTTTAAAATATAAACATACTTTTATCAAATGCTTCTATCATGTAATTTTAACCGTGAAAATAATAAATTGATAATTTGTGAAATATAAACAAATGAATATTGAATAAAACTTTATTGAAATAGTGTTATAACAAAAAGTAAAAGATTAAAAAAAGGTAGGAGGAGAAGGGGTTAAAGTAAAAGTAAATGTCTGAAACATCATAGGTGCGTATGTTAATGTAATGGCAAGTATTTCAAAGGCTTTTGAGAGTGAGACACCTCTTTTTCTGCAGACGGGTCATTGATGACCACATCCTCTTCCTCTCTCTTATCTTCAACTCAGACTTCAAACAAATTAATATTAATACCTTAATACATATCTCTTAAATTTAATTAATTAATTAATAATTAGTATTTATTACAAATAATATAAAATGTTAAAAAAAGAAAAGTTATATTACATATAGTTATTATCCTCTGCGGTGGCTCATGACTTCATGGTTCAATTCAATTGACTCAGCTCCTCTTCTGAAGAAGAATAGTTGATTGTAGATCTTTCTCTCGCAGTCCCATCTCAAGCACACGGCAAACACACCAAATAGCAAATAAAACACAAAAGTTATTTTATTTAATTATTATTTATATATTTATTTTATTTTGATTTTAGAAAAGTGGAGAGCGATATGGAATTTGACGACGACCACGAAGAGCAGGAGGAAGAAGAGGAAGAGGAAGAGGAGGAGGAAGCGGAGGAAATGGGATTCTCAGTGGCGGCGCCGAGTTACGACTCCTTGGGAAACGCGATGGCCAGGTCTAAAATGAGCAGCGCTGAGGGAGTTCCGGCCACCCTCAATTCCAGTCGCAAAGCCGGCTCCACGGGGACGGTCAGATACAGAGAATGCCAGAAGAATCATGCCGTCAGCATCGGCGGCCACGCGGTCGACGGCTGCTGCGAGTTCTTGGCCGCAGGAGAGGAAGGCACGTTGGAAGCAGTAACTTGCGCCGCCTGTAATTGCCACCGCAATTTTCACCGCAAGGAGATCGACGGCGAAATCAGCCATTACCAACCGCGCTCGCAGCCGCAACCGCTGCACTCTCAGTATCACCACCAATTCTCTCCTTATTACTACCGTGCACCACCGCCTTCCGCTGCGGGATACCTCCACCACCACCTGGTTACCCCTCCGGTATCGCAGCATCGGCCTTTGCCGCTACCACCGCTGGCTTCGGGTGGATTGTTCAGTAGAGAGGAGGAAGACATGTCAAACCCCAGCTCGAGTGGCGGCGGAGGTGGTGGTTTTGGTGGTGGTAGCGGCAGTGGGACGAAGAAGAGGTTTAGGACAAAATTCACGCAGGAGCAGAAGGATAAGATGCTGGCATTTGCGGAGAAGCTGGGGTGGAGAATTCAGAAGCACGACGAAGCTGCTGTGGAACAATTCTGCGCTGAAACCTGCGTCAAGAGACACGTGCTCAAGGTCTGGATGCACAATAATAAACACACTCTTGGTAAGAAACCCTAATTTCCATTCTTCAATCTCTCTTTTTCAATTTTTAGGTCAATATCAAGGATTTTAGTATCCATAGGGAGAATGAAGTGGAGTTATTACTTAATTCTGTGTGGGAATAAAAAAATGAAGAGACAATTTGTAATCTAAAATAATTTTAACTAATGGAGATCTAGTTAGGGTTAATTCACACTCATTCTTCCTTTACCAGTTTATTTTGATTTTGATTTTATATACCGTGATGATGAAATTTTAGTTGTTGGTGATTTGCGGTTGTTATGCATTTGTAATAGCTAATTCTGAGCAACGTTCAGCGGGGAATGGATCGAATCACTTGAACAGCTCCACCATAATTGCCAATTCTGAACTCTCCTGAGGGAGACTATAACCGAATAAAGAGAAAGTTGGAAGTTCATGGAAGGGTTTGCAAGTAGTGTTCATCTTATCAAGTTATCGTTATCATCAGTGATGCGGAGCTAGGGGAATATGCAATGAAAGTATGGGGATGAGCGCAGAGAATAATTTCCAATTTCCAACATTAGTTTTATTTAACGTGCGTGGAATGCAAGTGCAAAGCTGTTTTAAGTTACTACTTTGCTGTGTTCCTTCACATTTGTCATCTTCTATTCCTGTTTTTCCTCCCTAACACCACCCTACTTTTATTCTCCATTCTCTCTCATATTAATGTGTCTTCATCTTTCTTTGCTTCTCCACCTCAAACTTCACAAACCATTTATTAATCACTCTACGACATTTGTCACCCATAACTCAACTCACACACCTTCGTCGTATCTTTCCACTATTTTATGTTCCTCTTCACGTTCTTTTCAGGCTTTTTGTTCAACACTGGGTAGGACATCCTCAGTAGTTAATTGTTCTACTGATTTTCACTTCATTTCTGTTGCTTGATCTATTTTTTTCTACTTATCACTAATGAAACCAGTGTGTGCTCCCTTTATCATTCGGAATACTAATTTAAATCTTGTTCCCGCATGTGTGAAAAGTGAGAAAGTAATCGAACACTATGAGTGGGTGTTTCACGCGGCAAACTCGTACACTGTTTGCCTGCTGCGTCGCAGATCACAGTGTTACAGATCAGACATGCAGACTTTTTCTGATTTTGATAACACTGCACCACGCTAATGCTGCTCTATGCACTTTTCCTTAACTACTGTTACTTCGTGTTTTTTTATTTAACTTTCTCGTTAACTATGTTCAACGGTTTTTTGGAGCACACACTATTCACGAAAAATTTAGGTTTATTTTCGAACGTTGTTAGGCACTGAAACTTGCTGTAGCAGCTGTATGCACGTTCACCATCATCTTTTCAGTTCAAAGTTGAAAATGCATTAAAAGCTTATATATCTTTATATGCAATATACCGGTAGAACTTGTTTGCAATAAGTTCATACTATATAATACGTGTTTCTTTTCTTTTTTTATCCAGTTTACATGCGTATAAAGATCACCTTTCAGAATGCAGTTTTTCCAAGTATTTTGAAAATGCAAAGTGTGAAAATAATTTAGATTTTGATTGGTGTATAATCTTTAATCTATTAAAATATGAGGCTTGAATTTACTGGGAACTTCTCTTTGGAATATTCTCTTTTATATTTCTGCTTACTCGTAAATGGTCGTGTATAATAACTTATTGGTCAGTTTCAAATTCGTTATCCATTCAATAACAAATTTTAGATAGTGTTCTGCTAAATACTATTTTAAGAATTCTAATTGGAGAGTTATTTTTTTTTATTAAAATAATTATAAAGTAATATCTTTTTTGAATTTTTTTTTTGAGATAAAAACACTAGTTGGTATTCTTCTTTTTACAATATAATTTATCATTAAATCATAATAAAACTACATTTGACATAAATCAGATATTCTTCTCCTTTCTCAAATCAAATGCATGTATTTTATTCACAAAGTTGGAATCGAATACTTAAGAAATTTCATCATCAAAACTTGATAATTAATCTTTGTAATTAATTTTAATGATTTCAATTAAATTTAAAATTTTGAATGGAGACAAATTCCATGCATCCTGTGAGTTTTTCTCTCTGCTGCCCTTCTCTCAAACAGCACCCTCTGATTGGTAAATTTTAAATTTCTTTTAACACAACTCGTATCAGTTAAAACTATTCACATAAAATAGCCTGCCACTATTTACAGAGCCAGGTTCTACTTGAGTAGCACAAAGATTCTCCTCCTTTCTGGTTTGTAAAACGCATAAAAAAATGAAGCGATAAACAATAGTGTTTTTTACTTTCTAAATTTCGAACAAAGTACAATAAAAGGTTGTCTTTATATACAATTTTTCCAGCCACATATGTCCAGGCCAGGGTTGATGTAATTTGATGTTACAGTGGGAAAATGTAATAACTCCAGACTTTGATTTCTAAGAACATGCAACTGTCGGCAAAACTACCAAGTGTAATGCTCAATCAATTTAACTACCTTCTGTAAATCTCAACTAATTTTACTGACACCCCCTTTAAATTGAGTACAGTAGTAGCAAGCTCAATGTTATTGAGTTAAATTGATAGGACGTTCTTGGAATTTGTTACAGGGCTCTTGGAATGCACAGGGGTTGGTTTACTTAATCAACCACATTTATTAACTCTACCATCCTTACTTCACACCAAAATTATTGCAATTTTAAGTCACCTACTTCCTAATGTCTGTGTACCCCCCACAACATTATTTTATATAATATTTATATGAATTTATTTAAAATATTCCCATTTAAATTTAGCATAAACAATTTGTATTTTGGAATCATGCATATAATGTCTAATGATAGTTGTTCCCTATGTCATGTTTTGTCTTTATATAATGTGTTCATAAAATGGTGCAGAAATACAGTGGAATTATGATTGATGATTGATGGTTGAATTCTTTAAACATGTTATGAATGTAAGGAGATATATAAAGAAGAGAAACGAAGGTTACATTCAGAAATGACACAATTTACCATCCATGTGTAAGACAAAATAATTGATTTAATTTCATTACATTCAAAATTCATTGAATCCCAGGAATATGAATGGGATGAAGAAACTCCAAGTTGACTATAAATGCTTAACTCCATGCTTCCTTTTCTTTTCAGCAAAATCTTGCATCAATTTTCAATTCTTTTTTTTTTTTATTATATCACTAATTAATTATTAGCATTTTCTTAGATAGTAGTACTATATTAAAATAGAAAAATTAGTATTATAGAATATCAAAATACGTAAATAAGAATGATAAATAATATATTACAAAATTATAAATGATATTCATTCCCACAACGTTCGTTTTATCTATCAAATTTCGGAAGAAAAGTGTATTTTATTTACATATAAAAGTTCAAGACAACATCAGTTATCATCTTCTTAACAATGCCACAATATTTGGCGTATTTGTCAAAAATGAGAGAAAAGAATAGTTCGCACAGTATTACGAGTCACATTTTCCAGTTAACTAGAATGTTTTAATGAATTCCAGTTTACTAAAAACAAATAAAATCTAAAAATCAATTTGACTAAAGAATTGGATTCCATATCTCATTTTGCGATGCAAATGCATGGCTATGAATTTTCGCTGTCAAAACTCAGAACAACTTTGACGAACTAAAAAAGATTTGACTGGAGAAAGCTCTTTTCCTTATTTCTATCACGAATAGTTATTACGTAACCATGTTTAATAGCTTAAGCAGACTTTGGCAACACTATTCAAAATTTTGGTGCATTTGCATAATCAAACATGTGGGTGTTGAAGTCAACGAAAGAAGCTGTTGTTGTTGTTGTTGAATGTGGACAAACACAGAAACACAGGTCTATCTTACTTTTACTTTGCTTTGATTTCTCAATTTTAGTGCATGCATTAAATGGAAGTGTTAGTTTGACTTCCAATTTTGAAGGTGATCATATTCTACAGTAGTTGGTCAAATCAAAACTCAACCTTTTTGTCTCTGATATTGAATGGGAATTACGCTTTCAAATCAAATCAACTTCGTTGTGATTGTATTGTTTTGGCTTTTAATTGGAGTAAGACCAGAAATAACTAAGATCTATATAAGAAGTCAGTTTTTTTATGGATATCTTTTGAATATGCGAATCACTGTTCTATGGATACGGAGAAGTAAATATATACAACCATAAGATCTAGAAACTACCATCTGCATTATCAAATCAATCATTCAGGATGTTTTACATTGTGGTCCACACACTATTACAGAATTCGCGTGAATAAAAACAAAAATATGCAGTTTATTGTTAGGTGGAAATGGATTACAAAGATGCCAAGTTTGTTTTACCTTCTCACTCTTCCACCTTTTCCCTTTTAACCAGTAACTGCTTTGTTGTAATTTATGTTCTTGACCCAATTCTATTTTCTTGCCGGGGGTTGGGGGATTGGAGATTTTTTACTTTTTTGATGTACTAGATTCTGGATTGTGATTGTTGAAGATTAATAATTGAGACAGGTTTCTGGGTTATTTTGATAAACACTGATTTAGAGAAAATGGGCCAAAGTGACCTACTTGATATGAACCATAATAGCACATCAACAGTACTGAAGATGGACCTAGAGAACTTTTTTTTTTTTTTTTTAATCTTATCTTAATCTGACCAACTGTCATATCATGTCAGAGCCATTTAGTTAGTCCCTATGAATTAGCTTCGTCCAAATTGAAAATAAGTGGGGACCGTAAGGTAAAGAGTTTCATTATTTTATTTTATTTTTGTAATAAAATGGAATTAATATTTCTTTGAAAACAATTTTAATGTTTTTAAAAATGAAAAGTGGGGCAGATAATACTCACATTCCCAGAAATTTAACAAAATTTCACTTGAAACTCTTCTTCGGACACTGCACAAGAGAAATTTGAGAGAATTGCTGTATATATTTTAAAATGGAGAAAACTCAAATGTTATAGAACACATGTTAATGAAATGACGGGACCCTATACAAAATTAATTTATATAAAAATATACTGTTGTCTATCACTACCCTACAAATCATTAAGTTTTTTTAATTAAAAATGGTTAATTATTAAAATGATTGATTGATTAATATTTAAAATTGTTTCAAACGAAAGCCTCGCAAAACCAGTATTTCGATGAATGGATAATAGAATACTTATCAGCATGCAGTATATGTTGGATTTTGAAATAAATTAAAGGGCTTTCTCTTGTTTGAGACAGGATGCAGTTTTTACTTTTGATTTTTCATTCTTGAATTGTTTTTGGAGTTTAAATGTTAAACATGCATAGTTGTCATTCTAAAATCAAGTTACAAAATGTGACCATACTTTCTATAGCTTTCACCACAATTAAAAAGCAGATTATGATTCCCATGTATCGCCACTAACATTGCATATTTGTAATTTAAAACATTCTAAGAAAATAATCCTTCATTTAAATAAATTTTTGATAATTTTTGTAGAAGCAATTTATTTTTTCTTGAAAGAAAAAGCTGTTCAAAACAACGGTGAAGTTTTTGTGTCCTCGTCAGCGCAAGTCTTTCTTATTTTTCTTGTATTTTCTTACCCACACCTTCATTATTGAGAACATGTAAACCAACAATAATATTATGTCTTTCTCAGCTTATCAATTCCTCTATATAGGACTGGAAGACCCACATGATAAAAGAGTCTTAGAAAATATGTTCTGCCACTTCGTTTCTTTTAAAATCATTTAGCTTGTAACATAACAACGTGTACGACCATATAGTCCTCAATAACAGCTTTATTAACCTTAGTAAGGGCAAATTGTTTGTATACTAGACATTCCTTCAATAGTTAAATCACCCAACTCCAAGATATACAGAGAAAATGAAGAGATAATTTAATAAAATAAAATATAAATTCACCATCTATTTGTCCATTCAACTTACAACAAATTAATTGACTTTTCACATTCAGAAAGCAACAGGTAGAACAAATATATCATGAACAACATCACTACATGAGTTTAATTTTCACAGTATAAAAGCTCCACAAACTTAAATGTTTCTGTGATGGATGGATAATTTATCACAAACCTCATCCTTGGTATAAATAATATATGGCGTTTTCCAATCTCTGGTGTCAATGAGGCTGCAATGCTCCTTGAATATGTTTAACAGCGCTGTCATAATGCACAAAGCCCATAAACCAAAATTCATGGTTGTCAACAGAGATAATCTGTATATATTTTTCAGATGGGTTGGTTCTGCTTGTTGATGCGTTTACTGCTCTCAGCTGATGCAATGGAATGACCACCTAATGCGTGGGAAGAAAGACATTATAGTTAGTATTTACTAATATATATTATACAATAGCAATTTACTCCAAAAGTAACTATAATGTACTTAGTCCTAATCTCACCATTCAATTTTTTAATTACAAAAAATAATAATGAAGATATTAAGTAAATTCCTTGTATTTTACTTTTAGAGCATACAGATCATCTCTTTAGACATAAAATTATTAACATTAATCTATTAATTATAAATAAACTATTTTATAATTTTATAAATTTAATACTAACATGGTACAATTTTTTTCTTCTATAATTAAAATATTATTAATAATATTAGTTTTATTTAAGTTTTTTATAAATATATTTATAATAGATAAATATTAAATCAGATTTTGTATATCAATAATAAATAAAAACGTTATTTATTAAAAAAAGAGAAAGGGAAAATCAAGCTAGAATTTGGTTTCAAGAACAGAATTTCAACCGGTTTTCCATGGTGGGAGAGGCGAGAAGAATCAAGGTTCAGAATCGGCCACTGAAGACTGAATTCTGACCTCCAGATTAATTTGGAAAAAAAAAATTATAAGATGTCTTGTGCATTATTTTTTCTTCACAGTAATACCTTAATCACGATTAATTATTTTAAGTTCAACACATATAAGTAAAATACATCAATTGGATAAAGAAATATAAATTTAGGATTAGAGGGACTTATGTTATTAACTAAATTAACTAATATAAGTAAAATACATCAATTATGTTATTAACTAAATTAACTAATGTCCTTAATCTTGCTGAATTAGTTATTTGGGACTTATAAAAAGGATTAGAAGGAGCCCCATCAAGTGTTTTACGTTTAGACTTTGCCTAACTAATAATATTGATATTAGTACCTGGCTTAAAACAAGTATTCTCGGTTATCATCCTACGCTACATCTAATACTAATTTTCTCAACTGCGAAATCCTACTAAAATAGTAATTCACGCATAACACAATGATTCTTAAATATACTTCTGGATTCTGCATAACTAACACACAGTTTAAAAGCCAATCAAAGACAAACAGACTACAGAGCACAAAGCATTTGAACTCCATCATTGATAGCAGTTCAAAAATATATTGCTGAACTACATAATAGTATTCGCTCATCACAATCTGAAGAAAATATTCATTCAGCATTCCCAGCAAACAGTTTATAAAAAAACATAGTACCAAACCTCATTTCTTTGATTACAATCAGAATTCAGGAAATAGAGTGTAAAAATGTGAGTGTAAATATATCCAGTGTTAAGAATTAATCTTTGACAATGAAGGCATCCCAGATCAAGATCATCAAATCAAACCAAATTGCACATGTATATCAAAATTTCTATTATAGATCAATAAGAAGCAAGAAGGTTCCCACACCACCATACCTTATAATGGCTCCATTGAGTCTGGTCACCCACTTGGTAAGAAAGTGGGTTATCACTACAAAATGCCAGCTTCGCCGTTGACAAATACAAGACCCCCATCACAGGCCCAGCCGAAGTAGACAAGTAGCATGCATACGTTTTCAGAAGCTGCTCCTCTGGAACTGTCTCAAAAGTTTGCCTAAAGATCTTCTCATACCCTCCTTCCGCAAGAACTTTAGTTCCCTGAGCAATCCTCCCCACAGCTGCATCGGCAAAACTTGGACCTGTTTTCACTGTTCCACCCAAAATTAAATAATAATATTAATTACAAGGGTGATGTCAATCAATATTCATAAGTATTGATTAAGAAACTATAAGTAATTTTTCTAATTAGGAATTATAGAATAACTGCATTAGAAATCAGGGAGAAACACATTATTTCGCATCCCAAAAGAAAAACTCTCCTTTTAACAGTGACCTTAGAGCACGTTTGGTCTTCACTTTCAGCTGTTTTACGAAAAAATAAATTTGTATAATAAGTTAAAAATCACTTTTCAGTCAATTTATCTAATCAAAACTAATTTTGATCATATTCATAATCAATTATAACATTTATCATCTACTAATTTTCACCTAAAACACCCTTAATATACTACTACTACTAATAATAATAACAATAACTGCTTGAGATATCTTATAAACCGGTTTTAGAAAGTTGAAATGGGTCTAAACTACATTTTAAGAATAATAATAATAAAAAGAAAACACGCGTAAAGAATGACAAGAAATGAATACATACAGTGTTGCCACATGTTGCCAGCGAGATCCTCTGCCTTCTTGGTGGCCTCGGCGGCTTTCTTACCCCATTTTCCGAGAACGTCTTTCACGGAATCTAAAGTAGCTGCGAAAATAATACAAGTTTTGAGACAGTGTTCAAGTATGAAGGTAAAATCAGAAAATGAGATAGTTACTCTTAGTAGAAGAAGCGGGAACAGGCGCAGCAGTGACATAGGGATTCGAGTCCATGGGCATGGTAGTGGCAGCATCGCCGGAAATTGGGGCGCGAGATTCAGTATTGAGGGGTGCTTCGTGCTGTTGAAGAGGAGGTGGCACGACGTCGTCTGGGTCCAGTTTAGGGTATGGAGCATAATCGGCAGTGTGAGGCTGAGGTTCTTCCGGTTTGGTGTTGGTGGCTTGGGTTAGGATGTGGGTTTCTTCAGGTTTGGTGGCGGTGGCTTGGGTTTGGGTTTGGGTCGGGGTTGGGGTTGGGGCGTCAGCACTCATGTTGCTGGCTTAGGTTTTATCTGGTTCGGGATCGGAGTATTGGTGAAGCGACGAGATGGATCGCAATTAAGATTGGAGGAGGAAGAGTACACGTGTATGGGACTTCAATTTCAAATGTCAATTTCTGCGAAAACCGTCAACTGATTTAAACAGATTCGATTCAGGTTTCGATGCTCTTTCTAGATCTGCCCGTTATGTCCTGCGTGCCCTGCCCGTGTTCTTTTATCTTTGGGCTTGCTTTTCTTTGAGGGGTTCTGATCATTAATAGCCCATTACGGATTCCTTGGACCATTGTGTTTCACGAATACTGCCTTGATGTGTCTGATTTTTAGCACATCAGTCATATATTAATAAAATTTAATTAATTATAATTTGTATTATTAGGTCTTTAACATAAAATTTTGTATAAAAACGATTTTTTTCTTAATATTATTTTAACATAAAGTTGCATATATAGGTAATATTTAGATGCCTACCACACTTTTATAAAAAGTTAAATATTTAGATTTTTTCTCTTTACTCTCATCTTATTAAATTTATAATTCAGAAATAACATTATTTTATCAATATTTACCTAACTAGCATAATTTTCTTACACAATTAGAATTCAATCATTACAAGGCCGAATTTCAATCTCACTAATTAATACAATTTTAAAAATAAAATAATATTTATTAAATATAATAATTAAATATATATATATATATATATATATATATATATATATATTATATTTATATAAAAAATATATATATTTATATAAAAAATATATATAAATATTATATATATATATATTCTTTTAAAAAAAATTATTTATATAATTATATAATTAATATATTTTTATAAATATATATAATATTTAAATATTTATTTATATTTTTATAAATATAATAAAATTTAATAAATATATATTTATATCTTTCTATATAACATTTTTACATAAATAAATTATATATATTATTTAAATATATTTTTAATAAATAATTTTAATAAGTAAAAATAATATTTTTTATAGAAATATATAAATATTTTTATTATATTTTAATATATTTTTACTATATTTATAAAAATATATTAATAATATAATTATATAAATATATTTTTATGTTATTTAAAAAAATATATTTATATTTATTTCATATAATTATATAAATAATTTTAAAAAAAGTATATATATATATATAATATTTATATATTTATTTTATATAAAATATATATATTTATATTTAATTATTATATTTAATAAATATTATTTTATTTTAAAAATTATATTAATTAATGAGGTCGAATTCGACCTCCCGGGAACCGAATTTCAATCGTGTATGTAAAAATGGTGCTAGTTAGTTAAATATTGATAAAATGATGTTATTTTTAAATTATAAATTATTAAAGAGAGGTTACACGCATAGAGTCGGTCCAACAGGCATGCCTCAGTCAAATAATTATCCTACATTCATTAGACCGCCAAAATTAGTAAAAATGGTGGCGTTTTAAAGCTAACATAACAAGTTTTCTAATGAGACTGGAAGCGTTTAATTTGAATAAGTATTGAAGAAACTGCAAGCGTTTGAATTACACGATACTGTACTGAAGCGAATATAACGCGACTTTTCAACCTCTCTCTCAAGTTATTGAATTATCCCCGATTATGGGCCTTGTAACTCATAATTGTACATTAGTTAAAGCTTATATTAGATTAACTTAATAGAAACAATTAGTCGAAGTTGTAGAATTCAGAATCAATCAAAATTGCATTTTTTCTGCATTGGTTTTCTTTCTCATGCTCAAGCTTCTCTCCATGGGTTTCTTCATTGCTTGCATCACACTCTCCATGTATGTGTTCCGTTTTCTTCATCGTTTTTCATGAATTGGTTTTGGATCTTCGTCTTCTACTCTTTCTATTACTTTTCCTTTACTGAATTCATGAATTAGATTAGGTTTTTACCAAACAAAATATGTGAAATTGAATCGCATGTGACAAATTGTTCTAGACTTGTGTTCTTGACTTGGTTTAGCTTGTGGATGTCTCTCGGTTGAGGATTGAAGCTTGCAATCAATTTGTTGAACTGTATGGTGAATGCTTAATTGATTAATTAGGTTTTCACAGTGTAAAAAACACAGTAATCTTGCAATCTTGCTTACATCGAATCATGTTCGTAGTTCTTGTTCTTGCTTTCTTTAATTTTCTGCATTTTACTGCTTTGACTTTACTGTTTTGATGTTTTAAATGTTTTAAAGTCATGGTAACTAGGTTTTATAACTTTGATTACTTATTTTAATCTCTGTAGAAGTTTAGTTTTAGGTTTAGATAGATTTTATTGCACTGTTTTAGGTTCTGTCATAAATATACATTACTGCACTCATTCCAGTACTTGCAAATCACATTTACCACTGTTTTGACCGAATTGACCACTGTCACTCGGTCAGGTTTCCACCCACATGCACCAAAACACTCTCACACGGTCATCTCACGTTTTAAAACCTTAAAATACAAAAATAATTGCATTTCTCTCGGTCAATCATACATTTTATACACTGTATTCAAATCTTGATCGAGACCTTTTCATTTTGTTGATTTTCCCACTAACAGTGTTGTTCATTACGGTCATTTTTCATTTTAAAAACTCAAAACTTAAAAATAATTACATTTCATTCGGTCATTCATATATTTTACACCTTGCATTTAATTATTGATCGAGAAATTGTTTTTACATTTCGTTTTGACCGATATCACATATTTCTGACTAAGTCTGGTGTGTTTCTGACCGTGGTCACTGTTCATTCACGGTCAGATTTATGAATTTGGTTTAATTTCATTCTTTGGCATTATTTTTCATTTTTGTTAGCATTCTCGGTCAACCATGTATTTTGTTCACTGATTTCAATTTTTGACTGAGACATCTTATAGTATTTGCATGTTGACTTAGAGCACAAATTTTGTACCGTGATTTCTGACTGTTATTACTGTTCACGTCGGTCAGATTTGCGATACTGACCGTGGTTACTTTTCATCTCAGTTAGATTTGAAATTTTACATTATTTTTGTTATTCTGCATATTTTTAGTCATTTTTGCATTCTGCAATATTTTCATTCACTGTATATTAGAATTTAACCTCATTTTAGTTTAGTCTAAGATTGTAAATTTCATTTTTAGTTTAGTTTCCCGTTAAATTATTCATAACTCAATCATATACTCTTATTACTTCCTCGAATTAATATTCTGGTTCCTATTGTCCTACATTATTATTATTATTTTAGGAAAACTTATTTGAAATTATTGAAACCACGACAAAAATCTTTACTTTCAAGCCTCCCACAATAGGCCCAATATTATTATGATTTGTAAGTCAAAACACGAGAGTTACGCTATGATTGCAACTTTTACCTTCCAATTTACAAAATATACATATTCATCGTTTATTTGTTTTATAAATTTACGTAATTACCTTTTTATAATTTTTTTTTGAAATAATTCCCATTTATTTTAAGACTTTTCTAAATGTTGGTATTCCACTCATTCTTTGAAAAATGTGGTTGCTTTTCGTTTCAATTTCTTCATTTTAAAAAAATAAATTTCTTTTGGGGACACGTTTTTTAAAACTTGGAATCCTATCTTCTAATGTTGCTGGTCATATACAGATGATAGATTATACATTAATACTCAGGAAGAAAAATAAAATAGTAATAAAATAAAATTAACATATTGCTTTAGATCAGTAAAAAAATGCTTTTGAGAAACATATAATTATTCCAAAAAATGATTTTTGGGATAATGCCTTGAAAACATTCTTTCAAAAATCACTTTCTATAACCGGAAAGTTATTGTAGGCCCCAAATTTTGTCCGGCCTCATAATAAAGATCAGAAGACCTTCTATTCGAAGATGGATGAAGCCTAAAAAGCCACTAGGAGAGACTATTAGGCCCCATACTAGGATAGGAGGGATTTTTGGCACAAAAATAAGATTTTTCGCCTTTTGGGGTCGAGACCGCCTTCTCGTATTCGAGACCGCCGTCTCGCCTTGCACCAGTGGCGAGACGCCGTCTCGTTTGGCGAGATCGTCGTCTCGATTGGCGAGATCGTCGTCTGTCAGACGAGACCGCCGTCTCGACCTGTCAGACGAGACCGCCGTCTCGACCTGTCAGACGAGACCGCCGTCTCGACCTGACAGGCGCGAATCCCTATAAATAGGGTCTCCATTCCCCTCATTCCACACACCTCTCTCATTCTCTCTTTAGTCACATCACTAGATTCTCTCTCTAGAATCCCTACGACGCATTTCCGGAGCTTCTGAGTGTCTTTAGAGGTTTTTTATAGCGTTTTTGAGAGATTTCGGCGCTGTACAAGAGTGAAGGGTTGTCAAAAAGCACCCTAATTTGCAAAAGTTAATAGAAAAGCTTGCTTCGGAGGTTTCTACTCTCTCTCTATCTTTTACTGCCTTATTTTAAATTACGCAATAGACATTAGGGCCATGTAGTCATAAATTTAAATTCCGCAAAATAAAAGGGTAAAAGCATATTTTCATCAGGTTTAATTATTTTAAAATAGCTAGCCTATCATAGGGAACCCGAAAGGGGCGTCGTAAGGGAACTAACACTTCCCTTACACGTAACTAACTCCCTTACCCAACTCTGGTTCTAATGACCAAAGTTGGTTTTTCGAAAATCAACGCCTTTTAAAACCCTTTTCCGATGTTTCTGGTAAAAACATCGGTGGCGACTCCACATAACCCTTCAAAACTAGTTTTTGGGTTAGCCCGGTTATCGGACAACCCAAGAACGCCTTTTCGAAAACCTCACCCCTAGGTTTAGCCCGGTTATCGGACAACCTAAAAGCGTTGTAACCACCCATAAAAACGCAAAAAATGGAAAGTCGGAACCATCGCGTCGCTCCGTTTTCACGGCAGCGACAGTTATTTCCGTCAACATTAAATGAAGTCACACCGTATTGACAAGCCAATGCAGTGCAGTGATGTATATTAAGATATTATGATTATCGCT